ATACATCATCACTACTACAATTAACAGGAAATTGTTCAAAGAAGGATGAATTATACTGCCGTCTTTGTTTTTTTTTTTTTTTGTTTCTTTGAAGATCGGGGGTACCTTTCTTGGAAATCTCCTGGTTGTTTAATCCCCCATCTACAGGGACGGAGCCAATTAAGGACAGGGGGCAGCCGCCACTCCTAAACTTTTGAAAAAAATTTAATATGGTACTCTAACTTTTATTTGTTAAAAATTTTGTGTGCGGTTTGACTTTGACCATTGCATGAGGAAAGAAACTCCATCCGGCCACCTTCAACGGCCTCCTCATGGGAGAGTTAGTTTTGTGTAGTACAGTGAAATTAGTTACATTAAAATGCATAGAACGCTAGAATATGTTATTTTTTTTCTAGATTTTTTCTTAAACCAATAAATTGCTAACAGGTCCTAGTTCCAAGTTAGAAGTGAGTTTTTTTTTTTTTCTTTTGTTTTTTTGGTTTAAAAAAAAAGAAAAATTTTATTCAAGAAAAGATGAGACACAAAAGGTACCCGGCCGATTTATATGTTTATTGTTTTACATTAACCTTTCATGTTTGTTAACACAATCCTTCAATATCCACACAGAATTATCTTTTAACTAGAGCTTTTCCTGGATCGTCCAATAAATTGGAAACAGGTCTTAATTCTAAGTTAGAAGTGAATTGATATCTTCCACGGCTAGCCCTTACCCGCAAGGTCTGGAGCCGCCTTCGTTGTTTCCAGGCAACCAATGGACTTTGACAAATACGTACTTTTCCGTGGATGTACTACATTTCGAAGACTACAGTTGTTTTATTATTATTATTATTTTGCCCTCTCTTATCTACTTACTTCTACATTTGTTGTGTAATTTGCCATGGAAAATATATAGGAATACTTAAGTGTAATGCATGGTATTAGGGATGCAACCACCGCGAGCTAGCTAGTAGACTTCCAATGAATGAGTAAGACCGGCATTTTAAAAAATATAATAGAATTAGGGACTTTTGAATGGAAGAATTTTCAAAATTCTTTAACATAAGAATTGTCAACGAAGAAAATCTATGCCATTCTTACCTACTACTTAGCACTCACGTCTTTATGGCCAATTAATGCATGTGACACTATGTACATACAGATTTGAGACATTTAAGTTTTGTTTGACAATATTTTTTAGTATTTTAACTGTTAATTTTTATATATTTTATTATTTTAAAAATATAAAATATTAATTAAAATAAATATTAAATATATCTTATATATTTTGAAAATGCTGTTAGACTAATGCTTAATCTTTTAATCTTAACACCTACCTTTGATGACTTGGACTCTCCATGTATACTTCCCTCATTATAAAAGGAGGATCTCTCCCTCATCTTTTCCTAACTGTTCCTCTCGATCTTCCTTCTTCTCTTTATTGCTCTGTTTTCACACAATCAAAATGTGGTATATAGGTTTTTATATTTGGGCATTGGTTATCCCCGTCGTGGCCTTCTGGCTATGTAGATGGTGGAAGCCGGCCAGTAGAGGCCTGCTCCCTCCTGGTTCCATGGGGCTGCCGCTCATTGGAGAAACTCTTCAGTTTTTTGTCCCCAGCAAATCTCTAGACATCCCTCCTTTCATTAAAAACAGAATTCAAAAGTAAGCACATGTCTTTAATTATCTGCAAGACCACTCTACTACTTACAATACCTTATGGCATATTCATATAAATAACGTATTAATTTTCGTTTCTTTTTTGGTTTTTAACATTCATTAGATATGGACCTGTGTTCAAGACAAATTTGGTTGGTCGTCCCGTGATAGTGTCTTCAGACCCAGATTTCAATAATTTTATCTTTCAACAGGAAGGGAAATCAGTGCAGTTGTGGTACATGGACTCATTTTCAAAGCTCCTTGGGATAGGCGATGCAATAACAGGGTATGTTCACAAGTACCTCAAGAAGGTTGTCTCAGAACATTTTGGTCCAGAGAAGCTTAAAGAGAAAATCCTCTCTGAATTAGAAGTAATCGCCGATCAAACTCTATCTTCTTGGACCGAACACGAATCCGTGGAAATGAAAAGGGCATGCTCAACGGTACTAGCTTGTTCATATACACAATGCCCCATTGATATTTTACATGTATATTTGCAAACATATATACTCCCCCTTTGCAGATGATACTGAATTACACTTCGAAGCAGCTGTTTGGTTACGATCCTGAAAAAGGCGAAGAAAATCTGAGCGATTTGTACTTCAACTTAATAAAAGGCGTCATGTCTGTTCCCTTGAACGTCCCTGGAACAGCCTTTCATAAATGCTTGCAGGTAACTAGACAATACGTTTTTTTTTTTTTTGACAAGGGTAATAGTTAGAAAATTAGTAGAGTTAATTTGTTAGCAGTTAAGATTTTCAGAATAATGAACATTTCACCTCCTCATAAGAAGTGCACGATCATTAAATCGCAAATTGGTGGAGTTCACGGCGGTGGCAGAGCTCAAAACCCTGAGCTCCGCCTCACCCAAGTCTTAAGGCTTGGGGACCAACCATGGTAGCTCAAGTCCGGTTGGTAGGTAACTAGACAATGCTTGAAAGTCCGTTCGGTGTTACTTAAGCTTTTAATAGAAATTTACTTAAAAGGATTTATTGTAAAAGTATTATTTTTAAAAAACTAAAAATATTTAGTAAATTTTTTTTATAAAAGTGCTTACAAAATAAAAATGCATTTAGTAAATTTTTTTTATAAAAATTTTTTTAATTTAATATAATATTAAAATAATTGAAATAGATATTTTTACTTTAGTTATCACTCCCACCTCATTTTTTTATCTTTTTATATAACTTCATTTTTATAATTAGTTTAAAGTTGATTAAAAATTAATTATTCATATTTTAAAATATAAATGCTAAATAAATATTTATATTAAGAAATAAAATATACGACAGTTAAATCATAAAAATAAAACAATTAAAATTATCAAATTACCCTTTCCTTCTTAGATAATGTGGATAGTATTAATTTTTAAATTGTATAAACCATATTATTTTAATTTTTATTAATTTTTACTAATTAACAAAAAACCTAAATATTTCAAGAAAAATAATAACCCGGTTGTAAATTTCATATTGAAGGCAAAAAGTAATAGTACTTAAATTTAAATCATATAAATAAGACAATAAAATTAAAATTTATACCAAATAAATTAAACAAAATAAATTAAGCAAACATGATAAGTTCATTTTCTATATACCTCTCAAATTCATTACAGAATGAAGTAATGACCAACACCCACAGAAAGCGAAAATTTCATATAGCAATTCCAATTCAACCAAGCAAGCAATTCCAATTGAAGCTAAGCAAGCAACAACGGACTAGAGAGCAATCAAAGCTACAGCTAGGACCTAAAAAGGGAAGAAAACAAAAGTCTGGTTTAACAAGCCATTCATTTGGTCTCGAGGGCCTGGAACACATCAGCCTTCAAATCTTTGAAATCCTCAACCCCAAAGCTGAATCGAACCAAGTTATCCTTAATCCCATACTTCATCCTCTCCGATTGACTAAGATCACTGTTCCAAAACAGGCAAAAAAAATTTATCAGTCCTTCATAACCATCAATAAACAAAAAAGAGACACCATCTTAAAGAATTATACTAAAAATTGCTGGCACTCAATAAAGGTCAAGCCACATGCCCCAGATGAGTTGCATGTACTTGTATACTCACGCTCTTATTGCTTTATAATAAAATGCAGTCAAACGCAGAAATTCAATATTGAAGGCTATGCATTATCTCTGAATCTACATTCAACTTTTCTTTCGTCGAGGTATAATTAAGGGGAATAGCTATTAGTTGGATAAAATATCATCAAGCAGAATGGACTGTATACAAATGTAAAATTTAATGACATGCCAATAAGACATGATAGCTGGCTGATCAACAATGCTCTCATAGCCACCAAAGGATGAAGCAATATATGGGATCTTCAATGCATCAACAGAATTTATAGTGGCCATCAAATCTCCATCAATCTGCATGGCCCAAAAGCAATGAGCTACAAACAAATTTCTACACAAACAAAAATATGAAGTACATGATTGAAGGGTAAATAGCCAGCCATTGTTTTAAAGTAGAAAGCCGATACAAACCTCAAAACTGACAACACCACCAAAGCCAGTCATTTGCTGCTTGGCAATGTGATGCTCAGGATGACTAGGCAAACCTGGGTAATAGACGTGTTGCACCTGCCATTGATATTTAATGAGCCCATAACATACAGGATAATATTAATATAGTTTAACACAAGGAAAGTAAAACTATATGCCTAAAATACAATCACTGTAGTAGGACCTTGTATACAATAAGCATCGTCATCAACACAAAACTGTACCACAACAACTTAGATATGGCAATATAGGTCTATTTAGACACCAAAATCCAATAGCAGCCAAGCAATTGTATATGCAGCGTTTGCATACTTAACTCTAAAAGCCACCTCATCACTCATAGAAAGGTGAAAGCCAGGGAACAGTTTCCACCTCCCCCCACAGCAAGAAAGATAAGTAACCATTTGAACTTTAAAGAGGAATTCAAGTATACAACAACAATTGGAATATACTCGGTAGAAAGGTTGGGATATTCTTGAATCCAGTTATTTAGCAACATCAGCATCATTTTTTGTTCATAAATCCCGCTATTCTCTCTCAAACACAAACACAGATGTCCAATGCAGCTCCCACATCCTGCACATTCATAAATTCCTATTAAAAATGAAGTAAGAAGCTCCCACGGAAGCAGTAAATTATTGCTTCCGGAATTTGCAAAGGAACAGGGGGAAGATGTGCTTCTGAAAAGTTACCGTCAGAAGCTAATCCATTTGGTGAACCTTGTGCTTTTAGAATCAAAAAACCTTTTTCACAATCAGCACTAAACATGCTAGTAGTCTTCTCAGTTTTGTCTGTTTTTGTTGTACATTAATTCAAAGATCTTAATTTGGTTTTCTGTTCTTTCAGAAGCAGCAGAAAATTATGAAGACAATGAGGGATATCATAAAGGAAAGACAACACGATGCAGAAGAGACAAAGAAACAGAGATATGACTTCTTGGACCACCTCATTGACGAAATGAAGTCTCAGAGTTTCTTAACATACGATTTCATTACTTATGTCATGTTTGCTCTTATGTTCGCCACCATGGAGACGATTCCGGCTACATTAACTCTGGCAATCAAGTTTATGAAAGAACATCCTCTTGTGCTGCAAGAGTTAATGGTACTATAAAATTAGAATGATTATACATTCTTCTTAATTTGTTCCTTTTTTTGTTATTATTTTTCTGAAATTTTAACTAATGTTCTTGTAATTTAAAATTAACAGAGAGAACATGAGGTCATCATGAAAAAGAAAGAAGATGCTAAATGTGGACTGACTTGGGAAGATTACAAGTCAATGACTTTTACAATGAATGTAAGTAAACAAATAGAATTAAATTTCCC